CACGCACCTGTGGCGTCCGGGGAAATCTTTAGTTGCTGGGAATCAGCCAGGACACTGTGTCTGGTGTCTGAGCCAGCACTTGGATGTGGCCCCAGAGCCTTTCTGTCCGTCCCTACTGCTGAACTTAGAGTTCTCTGAGCACAGTGGGTGCCCTCTGGTCCCACCGAACAGTCCACAGGTGTCTTCCTGTCACTCAGTCCTGCCTCCCACCTGCAGGGCTGGGTCCCTGTCCCTTTGTCACCCTCATTCTCCACCACGGCCACAGCTGACGCTGAAGACGGAGCTGGCTGTCTCCCCAGTAGCTGCTCTTGTGTGGAGTCTGACTGAAGAATGAGGAGGACATGTCTCGGATACATTTGTTTTCCTCCTGCCGCAAATCTCTCATGGGGCGAAGGTTTTCCAGCATCTTACCCTGTCCGCCTCAAGCTCTAACTCTTGCTCGTCCCCACCTGACATCTCACACTCTGGCCACTGCGAACTTTACATTTCCGGAACTTCATACCTGGCTCTTGCTTCTTCTTTGCCTGGTAAAAGTACCTCAGTCCAGTCCCTGCTGTCTTTCCAATGCAGACTTCTGTTTTTTGGTTAAGATTTTATTTATTTATTTAGTAATTTCTTCACCTAATGTGGGGCTCAAACTCACATCCCTGAGATCAAGAGTCGCATGCTCTTCCAACTGAGCCATCCAGGCGCCCCTCGAATGCAGGCGTTCTTGAGTGTTCTTACCCTATGGGATGAACCCACACGGTGTCGGCCCACGTACACGAATGTGGGTCCCTGTCTCAGCACGTGTGTGGCTCTGTCTGCATACCTGAGTCCCTTCAAGGCAGGAGTATGCCTGTATTGGTACCTGGGGCACCGTAAATGCTCTCCTTGAAGTAGAGCTGGAGGACAGATGTTTCTGAGAAAATTATACTCAGAGTCTAGAATTACAGACTTCAGTATGTGCCTTGACTTTTCCATTAACTGGCACCTGACCTTGGGCAAGTTAGCTAACCTTTAAAATGTCAGCTTTAGGGGAGCCTGGCTGGCTCAGACAGTGGAACCTGCGACTCTTGATCTTGGGATCAAGCTATGAGCTCGAGACCCATGTTGGGTGTAGAGATGACTTAAAAATAAAATATTTTAACAAAGTAAAATGTCAGCTTTGTCATCTTTGAAGTGGGGCAGTGACAGAATAAATGGGAGAGAATTGAATGAGAAAATCCATGCAAGCCGTGTAGAATAGTGCCTGATACATGGTAACCGACTGCTTGAAGGAATACATATATTTTAAAATTATTTTTTAAAATAGGTGAAACTGGCTCATGTCACATAATTCAAAAGATCTAAAACCGTGTATGGTGAACAATCCCCTGTTCATCCTTGTCCTCCACGTACCCCTCCCCAGGGCCTGGGCAGCTACTGGGCTCTCTGTGTTTTTTAAATGAGCAAGGGCATGTTATTATATATTATGTATCTATTGGTTTTTAGCAGGATGGGGGGCATACTGTATATGTATATATTTTTTGCAGTTTACTTTTTTGCTACCTGGTATCTTTTATGAAATGTCTAGGGATTGTTCACTTATATGGATAAGTAGTTATTTAGGTTATTTGCAGTCTTTTGCTAATACAAACAATAATAAATTTATATAAAATCCCTTTGACTCTAAATACTTTAGTGTGTATTTCCTAAGGCCAAGCTATACCATCTTAGACGATCATAGGACAGTTACCAACATCAGGGTGTTAAAATTGATCCAGTCCACAGATCTTATTCAGATTTCATTATTTGTATCACTAATGTGCTTGATAAAAAGGAAAAAAAAAATCATGCGTACTTAAAAAATTGTGGTAAATATTGCTGATTTTCCTCCCGTGCAGGTGTGTCCATTTATGTTCCCAACAACACTGTGTGGAGTGCCTGTTTGCTCATAGCCTTTTGAACAGGTTGTTATCCAAATCTAGGGATCCCTTGTACTCATCGATAGGTTAAAAATGGTTTCTTATTGTAGTTTTAATTTCATTTCTCTTAAAAGAAGTCAAAGGTTGAGCAGCTTTTCATGTTAAAGAGCCACCTGCATTATTCTTTTTGGCTGACTGTTGACTTTTATTTGCTGTAATATATTAAAGATGACAGTATTTTGAGAGCGTATATTCTCTTCTAATTTGTCTTTTTGAGTTAAAAGGGAGAAATGTTTTGTATTTCCATAGCCAAATTTGTCAATGCGCCACGATTTTGGACTTGTATAATACTTAGACTTTGATACTGACGTTATGGGAAGTAACCTCTTTTATCTAGCACTTTCCTACTTTCGTATTTTAAACTAAATCTTTGACTCAGTTTTATTTTTTGTTTGCAGACAGACACCCCTCTGTCCAAACACCATGCCACCATACCATTCTTTATACCCACAGCTCTATATGGGTCTTGTCTGGACTGTGTTCTGGGCATGAATCTTTTTATTCATGTGTTCTGGTAGCTCTGTGGTATGCCTTCGTAACTAGCAGGCCTAGTCCTCCCCAGTTACACTGTTTTCAAAGGGTTTTTTTGACGATTGTCACATACTTAGTTTTTCATGTGTACTTTAGAATTGTCTGCTAAAGTTCCAGAGCCCTAGTTTTTAAACAAATCCTATTGGTATTTGTAAATAAGTGATTTAACCAGTGAAAATTGATGTCTTTATAACTTTTAGTCTTTGTACCAAGAATAGGGTGTGTATTTCCATTTATTCAGATCTTTTCTTTATATTTTTTTTCATATTTTAATAGTAGTTCAAAACTTTCTTCTGGATTTTGTTAGATATGAATGATGCTGATTTCCGGGTATTAAAATGTGGGCCTATTTCTTAGTTTTAGGTTTTTAAAGGCATATAATCGGGCACCTGGGTGGCTCAGATGGTTAAGCATCTGCCTTCAGCTCAGGTCATGATCCCAGAGTCCTGGGATCGAGTCCCGCATCAGGCTCCCTGCTCCTTGGGAGCCTGCTTCTCCCTCCGCCTCTCTCTCTCTCTCTCTCTGTCTGTCATGAATAAATAAATAAAATCTTTAGAAAAAAAAATAAAGGCATATAATCATATCATTTGTAAATAATGATTTTACCTTTTCCTTATAGTTTATACTGTATATTTCTGTATCTTATCCAATTTCATTGGCTTGTATCATTAGAATACAATAAATTCAATGCAGCAATAGTGGACTTTTTCCTGATTGTAATGGGACTGATTTTATTACTTTCCTATTAAGTCAGATGTTGTATGAGATATGTTTATTCAGCTCCTCCTGTTCTTAGACAGTTTTTTAAAAGTTAAGACTAGATGTTAAATTTTAGTAATTGCCTTTTCATCTTGAAGATGATTCTCATATATGTTCTTCTTTTTAAATATATTAATATGTTGGAAGAAAAAGGCAGTTGCCTAGCACCAGGGAAATTTGCCGTGTAGGAATGCAGATGTGGGTTTCCAAATCTTTCAATTTGTCAAAGGGTCGAATATCTGGATGTATTTTTTTTTCTAATAGTGCGTGGGCCAAACAAAACATACGGGGGCCACATTTGGAGACATCTGCAGGGCTGCTAGTCTAATTTCTGTTCCAGTCCATTCCCAAAAATAATTAGAGCCTGGTGACAGTTTTATGTTATGTCATCGTGGGTAATTAAAGATAAAGTTTTCATTTTTGCCCAGAAAAAACCTGATGGGGTGGGGATTTCCCAAGTTTAGCTAATAGGTACTATAGTTCCCCCACCTTTTTATACCTTGCTTTTCTGATTTGTCATAAGACCATTAGATAATTATTACACTTTTATGACTTAATTTTTATCTGTTGGTATTAAACGGTCTTAAATTTCAGACTTCTGTAATATGAACAATATCACCATAAAATAAATGTCTCTCTCTCCTTTTTAAAGCCACTTCCCTTATTTCCTACTTTTTTCCCTGTGGTTTGTCCTGGTTTCCATTGTGTGACTGTTTTCAAAAAATGCTCTTTTTTATTCTTTTACCTAACCTCATTTCCTATGTTAATTAGTCTTGAAAAGAGCATTGTATTCAGGAAAGTATTTTCTTTCCTTATAGATTCACTTAACATAAGGAAAATTCCTTGCATTTACTAATAATAGAGAAGCAAATAAAAGATTTTCCCCCAATAAAGCTATGTCTGTACAGACACAGTTAAATAAACAGTTAATATTTTTTGATGAATTTCATTAACTTGGCCAAAATCTGTGTAATTTCAACTGGGTTCTTTACCTCATTGTAGATGTCTATTTAACTACAGATGAGTAAATCTAATAAAAAATTATGAAAGATAAAAGGTGATCCTGCTGAATTTTGTTTTTAAAATTTTTGTAATTTAGAAATCATTTATTATATTTCCATAAATTCGGCTTGTGATTTTTCTTCTGATAGGAATAGTTTTAAACCTGATTGAAAGTTGAATAATAATATTTAAAGTTACAAAAGAGTCTTTTATATTTGATCATGAACTAGTATATGTCATATGTACTATTTCTTTGTCGTAACTATTTGAGTGCCTTTTTACAGCATGAAAATTCACCATCTAATTATTTGCACGTGTATTACATTTTATTCATGACATCAGATAGATTCAAACAATGCTTATTCCAACTTCTTTCCTTCTCTTAGTATTCTTTGAGTTAATTTTGGAGTCATTTGCTCACATTGCTTTTATTCACATTTACAGTGGACTGAGTTTGCGCCTCCCAACTGTTGCTTTATATTACCTGTCCACTTAGCGCTCTTACCTCTCACAGACTATGATCTGTGTTCTCATGGGACTGTCCAGATTTTCTGCAAGATTAAATCACAGTCTTCAATAATTTCAGTGATCATGGAAATGTCAACTTTTTTCATAATTGATCATCTATCTTCTGCTGTGGCAAAACGTATATAGCTTTTTATAGGTATGGTATATAGTTTTAATCTAGCCCTAGAAAGACATTCAAGTGCCTTCCTATTTGGTATCATAGCTGGGCTGTTGGTGTTTTTCATTTGGCTGCAGGTTCAATCCGCGAGGAGAATGGCGTCCGGTGGCATGTGTGTCCCTACTGCACGAAGGAGTTCCGGAAGCCTAGCGACCTGGTGCGCCACATCCGCATTCACACCCACGAGAAGCCCTTCAAGTGTCCGCAGTGTTTCCGGGCCTTCGCTGTGAAGAGCACCCTGACCGCTCACATCAAAACACACTCGGGCATTAAGGCCTTCAAGTGCCAGTACTGCATGAAGAGCTTCTCCACCTCGGGGAGCCTCAAAGTACACATCCGCTTGCACACAGGTGCCACGGGGGTCCTCTGGGGACACGGGGTCGCATGGTCTGCGGACAGTAGCGGAACACTTCGAGGGCTCATGTTTCGTTCTCTTCTTAAGTACTTGTGATTACCGTCTAGAGGCGAGGCTCCGGGTGTGTGTATGCTGGTAGAGAGAGAGCCAATGGGACTTTGATTCTCAGGGAGCTGATGGCTTAATGAGGGAGGCGGTAAGCAGTCCCGCTTAGGGAAGAGCCGAGAGACGGCGCTCGAGGGCAGCCACGCTTGGCGGGAGAGGAGGCGGGCCTTTCTGTGCAAGAGACGCCTCAGGTGGGGCATTTGTGCTGAGGCTTGGGCAGCGAGGGAAAACCGAACACCTACTCTACCTTTCGGATATTTTGTAATCAGTATCAAGGCATGGAGATGTTCGTATTGAGGCAGTAATTTCATAATAGTTTTATTGAGAGATAATTCACAGATCATAAAATTTACTCTTCAAGTGAATTCAGAATTCACTTTATGCAGAAATTGTGCAACCCACCCAACTGTCTATTTTCAACATTTTTATCGCCCCTCCCTCCTGGAAGAAACCCCGTACCCATTTAGCAGTAACTTCCCCTACGAACCTGGGGTTCCTGGGCCGAGCTGACCATGTGGATGAGGGTTTGAAAACACGAAAATGAGTCAGATTTGTTATATGCCCTTCTTAGGACTCTCCAGTTTCATCTACCAATGCAGCTGTAAGTGAAGGAAATTGTTCAGAGGAAATTATCACTGTCCTTAGCAGCAGCAGCATTACTTACAACTAATAACAGCTACTGTTCACTGCTTGTTCGCTAAATGCTCAGAGCTGCTAAGGGCTATTTCGACCTGAGTGCGTTCGCTCCCGGCAACCAGCCTGGAGGCAGGCGCTGTTATTCCAGTTTGCAGACGATGCTTTGAGAGAGAGAGCAGTCTCACACACTCTAGTATTCTTAAGGACTGAATGTTTAAATATTTTAAGGTTTAAATATTTTACACTGCAAAGTTAACAAATGTTCTTTTTTACTTAAAATGCTCTTATTGCATCTAAATATGCACTGTATGCCAACACGGGAAAAGAAGTCGAATTTATAATATCCCTGAAATTATAAGCATGAAATGATGAATATTCAAATCAGTATTAAAGTACTGGAATTTTATGTTGGCATTAGTTGTTGAGATGTATTTTCTTGAAATAATTCTACAGTGTCTTTTTATTTTTATTAGGGGTCAGACCTTTTGCTTGTCCTCACTGTGACAAAAAGTTTCGAACCTCAGGCCATAGGAAGACTCACATTGCTTCTCACTTTAAACACACGGAGTTAAGAAAGATGAGGCACCAGCGTAAACCTGCAAAGGTTCGAGTCGGCAAGGCCAACGTTCCAGTCCCCGATATTCCTTTGCAAGAGCCGATTCTCATAACTGACGTAGGTAAGATTCTCTTCCCCTTTGTACCATGCAAGGATTATATAAATATTACGGTCTACATAGTTTTAAGCATGGTGTTAATGAAGTTTTTGTTTGGCATTTTTGCTTTATGGCCTAGAATGTTCCACAATCAAAATGAAAATCCTAGTTCTGTCTAAACTACTGCTCAAATTGTGTTCTTGGTTAAGGAAAAAATGATGTATACAAGTGAAGGTATTAGTATGTAAGTTCTCATTGAAGAAAAATTTCTGCCTCAACAGAACTATCAAAGTGCTCTTTATGTGAAATACACAGTGCCTTTTGTTATTTTTATATTAAGATCTCTATGTAGTATGTAACAGATTATTGTATGGCTGCTTTAATCTTTGGACCAAAAAGAAAAATTGCCAGCTTTTAAGGTTTTTTTTTTTAGGCTCAGTGTTATAATCAAGGTAAAGTACGATTTTGTTAAAAGAAAATACTGCTTATGAGGATCTTCAGAAAAATGTTTTTGTGTTATAATCAAGGTAAAGTACGATTTTGTTAAAAGAAAATACTGCTTATGAGGATCTTCAGAAAAATGTTTTTGTAAGTGCCAAACAAAATTAAAGAAACTTCATTAAGTTCTGTGCTAAAACTTTTATTTTTGTGCAGTTCCTGTATTTCATTATGTCTTAGGCAAGATAATCCAGTCTATGAACAAAATTAACATTAAAGTATAACTGAATAAGTTAAGGTTAAGTGGTATAAAGGGAGATATTTTAGGTTAATATAAATTATAATCTGCCAATAAGATGATCAACAATCATGAATCTTTATTTAGGAGCATTGCATAAAATATATAAACCAAGAACAATTAGAAGAAAAGAGAAATATTCAAATTATAAAGTATAGTGAAAGATCCTCAATTCAATCAATTTAACTGAACAGTGAAACTAAAAGAGAATTTGAAGTACACATATAAAAAGGGTTATTTTATAGCTTTATAGAATCTTTTACTCTATAGTACATACTCTTAAATATACATGAGACAGAAAGTTGATCAAATCCTAGGATATAGAAGAACTTTAAATTTTCCCAAAGTAGACATTGTGCAGGACACAATCTTTGATTATAGTTCAGTGAAAGCATAATAGAATACAGCTAAATGTGTTAGCTATAGTTCAAATAGCTAACACATTTGAAAATTTAGATGAAATGGACCTTTTCTAGAATAATGTACTTATCATAATTGACTATAGAAGAAGTGGAAAACTCCAAAACAGACAGCAAGTAGAAGGTCATCCTCCCCAAAGTATCATTCTCTGATGATTTTATGTCTAAGATCTACTAGGCTTCCAAGGAACTATGATTCTTAGTGGTATTAGTTGCTCAAAGCCAAGAAACTGATCAACGCTCCCATGGGAGGTTAGAATACTTTGATGTACTTGTCCACTTTCTGGTAGCTCATGAAGCAAAGCAACAGATGGTTTTTCTTAATGTGTATTTAATCTTTACTATAATCTGTAGGTTCTCAATGGTTTGTGCTATACCTGAAATGCAGAAAAATCTCTGAGAGTCAGGACAAATTCAACATTTGTTTAGTGGCCCTAGAATTATCCTTCATGCTTGAGAGTTACCTTCAAATTACCAGTTTTTTCAGTTTGCCATTAATCAAATTAAACACCTGTGGGTTTCTTGACTTGAAGTTTGTAAGCCCTTAGTTGAGTTCAACTACAGTCCTACTGCTCCAGACATTTCCCGAGGTTAAAATGGGGTACACTTTACTTGCTGATTTCACAGATGCCTGTGAATCAAACCTTGGACCGAACTAGTGGAAGCGGAACTCTTCTTTGGTCCAGGCTGAATGAGACGCATGAGGGAAATGACTCGTAGGGTGGCTTCAGATTGTAAAATGTAAACTGTTGTAAATATTTTCATGCTTAACTTCATTATTATTTATAGTTGTGTCTGTCTCTTTCAGACTCTGAGCTCCTTGGGGTTCTGTAGAAGAGCGTGACTTTAATAACCTTTGGGGGACAGGGCTTTTAGCATAGATTAGTTAAAAATATTTGACTTCATTGGGAGATGAGCTGGTCTAGTTCAGCCTAGTTACTTAAAACACAATATGTCATTTAGACTAAGACTGTCACTTAGGAAAGTATTAGAATGCATTAAAACGACTGTACCAAGTCATTTAGTCTGCATATTAAGGAAGCACTGTTGGCGGTATAGTACCATATGGTCATAAAAACTTTTAGAGCTGTATAGGAGCTTAAAAATAGTCATTCCAAAACCTCTCTGTATTCCTCGTTTGTACAGATGTAAAAACTAGGCCCTAGAAAGAGTTACAGTGTTGCTTTTAGGTTATACAACTAGTTTGTACTCATGGTAGAACTAGAATCTGGATCTTCTGACTTCTAGACCAGAGTTGTGTTCAGTAAAATTCACTTTCTCTGCATACCCATTGCCATTGCATGCCCAGGCACAGAAGTGTGGAAGAGCACAATATGAATTTCAAGTAGTCATTGTATCTTGGTATCAAGCACCAGTAATTTTTACTGAACTTGAATATTGTGAAATTTATTGCATGTTAGGGACTGTATTTCACTAGACAAACTGTCTTATACTCTAAATGTTTTTTCTTCTAATTCAAGAGCTAAATTTTAAATACAGTTATGTGCAGACTGGGGAGGTATTGGGGTCAAAGTGATCATAATATTCAGAGGGAGTTCATTATTCCCATCATAAAAAGCTGAGAGAGTTCATTACCACCAGATCTTCTTACAAGAAATGCTAAAGGGATTTCTTTGAGTGGAAGTAAAAGAACAATAATTAACATCATAAAACATTAAAAAGTAGCATAAATCTCATTGGTAATGGTAAATATGCAATCATAGTTAGATTCTGCAATATGGTAATAGTGGTGCACTTTACTTACAACTCTTGTTTAAAACTTTAAAAAAAGAGAAGTTAGGAAAAATAACCATAACTACAATAATCTGTTGTTACATAGTATAAAAAAAAACATATAAATTGTAACAGCAATAACCTAAAATGTGAGAGGGAGGAGAAGTGTAAAATTTATGAATTCTATTGAAGTTATTATCTGTTTAAAATAGGGTGTTACAAGTTTAAGGTAGTCTATGTAAGCCTCATGGTGACCATAAGGGAAAATCCTATAGTAATTGCACAAAAGAGCATGATAAAGAAATTAAAACATACTGATACCAAAAGGCATCAAAGCGCAAAAAAGACAGCAGAATAAGAAACAAGGAACATTGGATCCAGAAAACAATTAACAAAATGGCATTAGGAAGTTCTTACTTATCAATAATTACTTTAAATGTAAATGGATTAAATCCTCAAATTAAAGGACATAGAATTTCTGAGTGGATAGCAAAACAAGACCCAGTGATATGCTGCCTACAAGAGGCTCATGTTAGCTTTGAAAAGATACACATAGTCTGAGAGTGAAGGGATAGAAAAAGACATTTCAAGCAGATAGTAACCAGAAAAGGCAGAGGTAGTTATACTTGCATCAGATAAAATAGACTTACTTCCTCCTTCCTTCCTTCCTTCCTTCCTTCCTTCCTTCCTTCCTTCCTTCCTTCCTTCCTTCCTTCTTTCCTTCCTCCCTCCCTCCCTCCCTTCCTTTCTATTTTTAATTTTTTTTAGACAAAATAGACTTTAAAGTAGAAATGATGAAAAAAAAGACAAAGGAGGTTGTTATATAATGATAAAGGGGTCAATACATCAAGAAGATATAACAATTGTAAATATTTGTGCACCCAACATGGGAGTACCTAAATATATAAAGCAGAAACTAACAGCTAAAAGGAGAAGTAAACAGTAAAACAGTAATCATTGAGGACTCTAATACTCCACTCTCAACAATGAACAGATCATTCAGATGGAGAATCAATAAGGAAACAGCAGATTTGAATAACACTTATAAACCAAATGGACCTAACAGCCATATACAGAACATTCTGTCTAACAGCAGCAGAATACATATTATTCTCAAGCACACATTAGACATTTTCTAGATTAGATCATATGTTAGGCCACAAAAAAAGTTTTAGCAAATTCGTAATAGTCAAAAATCTCCCAACATAGAAAAGCCCAGGACCAGATGCATTCACTAGTGAATTTTACCAAACATTAAAGAAGAATTAACATCAACCTTTCTCAAACTCTTCCAAAAAATTCAAGGAGGAAGGAACATTCCCAAACTCATTTTATAAGACCAGCATTATCATCATACCAAAACCAGAAAAGGACACTACTAGAAAAGAAAACTACAGACCAATATCCCTGATGAACATAAATGCAGAAATTCTTTATAAAATACTGCTAAACCAAATTCAGCAGCACATTAAAAGAATCATTCACCATGATTAGGTGGGATTTATCACAGGGATGGTAAGGATGGTTCAACATATGCAAATCAATCAATGTGGTATGTTACATTAACAGAATGAAAGAAAAAATTCATGTGATCCTAATAGATGCAGAGAAAGCATCTGACAAAATTCGACATGCATTCATGATAAAAAATGTGAACAAATTAGGCAAAGAAGAAACATATCGCAACATAATAAATGCCGCATATGGTAGGACTACCGCTAACAATATACTCGATGGTGGAAGGGTAAAGTCTTTTCCTCTAAGATCAAAACAAGACAAGGGTACCCATTCTCACCACTCCTGTTCAACATGGTGCTGGAAGTCCTAACTAGAGCATTAGCATCAAAAACAGTAAAATACTTAGGAATAAATTTAACCAAGGAGGTAAAAAATCTGTACCTGAAAACTAAAAGACACTGATGAAAGAAGTTGAAGAAGGGCGCCTGGGTGGCTCAGTTGGTTAAGCGACTGCCTTCGGCTCAGGTCATGATCCTGGAGTCCCGGGATCGAGTCCCTCATTGGGCTCCCTGCTCGGCGGGGAGTCTGCTTCTCCCTCTGACCCTCCCCCCTCTCATGCTCTCTCTATCTCATTCTCTCTCTCAAATAAATAAATAAAATCTTTAAAGAAAAAAAAA